TCCGACCATGAAGTTAGCCTTTCAAGAAGGATTTGAGTAAACAATTTTGTTGGACAGTTGATCAATGCGATCCCTCTGTAATTGCCTGGGTCATCAGAGGGGCCCTTTTTATGAATCATAGTTAGGAGCACTTCAGACCAGCTATATGGAATCGACGAGGACTCTAGAATATTATTGAAAAGGCATGTTAAATAAAGTATCCAGTTGTGGGGTAGATTTTTCAAAAACTCATACGTAATGTTATCGGACCCTGGTGATTTGTTATTTTTGCATTTGTCGAGGACTGCGTAAACTTCAGCACTTGTGATAGGGGAGTCAAGGGTGGGATGTCTTGCGTCAAAATAGATTGTTAAGTTAGCGACTCTCGGAGGGTATATATCACTATAAAAAATCTCCCATACTTCAGTAGGCAGTAGTGACTGCGAGAAACTGCAACGATATCGCTTCAGAGTTCCCCAAAAAGTTTTGGAGTCTTTAGAGTTCGACAAGGTATTTGTTATTTCGGATTCATACTGGAGCCGCTTATCTCTTAACATTTTTTTATAAAAGCTTTTCGAGGAGAAGAATTCATTTTTAGAGTCGGGTGAAAAACTATCTCTTTTGCAATGTTTCCAATCTCTCCGCACTTTCAATTTCATGTTTGAACACTCCCTGTCAAACCATGGTTTATTACGTTTCGAAAAGTGATTCACCACATAATCATTTCTTGTTAAATTCAAGGCATTGGCTGTTTCAGTTATAGCTGTACAGAAATTTTCATAAGAACTCTGGATATTTGGATTGTAAATAACTTCTTCTGAATGTTGCATTGTGATTTTATATTCCAAAGAGCATAGGTTATCCCACTTCATGATCTTTTTTGTATAAGAAGTTGTCTCAGCCCGAGACATCCTGAATGTAGTATCAGAAGATAAGCATAGATAGACTGGAAAGTGATCTGAAACAGTTACTTTCTCAGAGACCCAGAAATTATTTACGAGAGATATATGCGAATTATTTATATATACGAGGTCTATAACACTGTTGCCAAAAGAACTAATATGGGTGTACTGAGCCGGTCGATCTAGAGAGGTTCTTCCGTTCAGCAATGCGAATGAATTATTGTACATGAACTCTGAAATATTACGCCCTCGTGTGTTGAGAGTTTTATCATTGCTTAATCTGTTTTCAAATAAATTGGAATTTTCAAGAATCTCTTCCGGTATCACACCTAGTTCGGCAACCCTGCAATTGAAATCCCCCCCAATTACTATAGCACTGTCGGGGTGATTCTCCGAGATTTCAGAAAGGGATTCTTGAAATATTTCCAATAAATGTACCATATCAAGTGAAGGTTTTATATATATTGTACATATTATAATTTGAAAGTCACGAGAGGTGAGGAGACATATTATCCACCATGGGTTCTTATCTAAAATTGTTACGTTGAAATGCTTTTTCACGAAAATAGAAAGGCCGCCACTAGCTCTGCCGAATGATTTTTCCTTGACAGCTGGGAAGCTCAAAACATTGAAATGCGACATATAATTTGGGGATTCTCTTAGATCGTTCGTCAGCCACGTTTCACTAATACACAGAACATCAAAACCCAATCCCTCATTGCAGAATTCTTCCAGATTGGCAAAGCCTTGGCAGTTCCAAAATACTATGTTGAGTGATTGCTATTTATCATGTGTGGTGGGTGTTGAATCAATTGGTTTAGAAACTTTGACACCTTGATTCCTCTTAGGAGATATTTCTTCTTCCCTGGGTCTTTTGACGTTGTCGATGTCAACTATTTGTGGAGTTCTATTGACATATTTGATAGTGATGTTTCTCTCACCAGCTTCAATTCTGGTTTGCAGTTCTTTTCTCAGCTCCGATAGGTGTTCTATTTGTGCAGGAGTTGAGTCGGGCTTAATGGAAATGGTAGGAAACGAATCACGGGGTAATTTTGATTTGTTCCTGAGGACACTCAACACTTCTTCAAAGGAAGCTAGTGTTACTTTGAGTGGTCGTTTTTTCCCATCTGTGGGGACCTTGCCTAAGCGCTGAATATTATTTATTGCGATCCCATTCGTAATCTTGCTCAAAATATCATTTGCTAATACCAGATCCTCAGCTGTATTGCCTTCGACCAACCCCATTATTAATATGTTTCTTTCTCTACTGATTCTATCAGAAATTTCAGCATGGATTTGATTAGCATCAGATTTCATGTTTAGCAGTTCATCCTCAAGGGTCACAATTTTTGTTTTCAGGAATTTATTGTCATCGCGTAAGCTGGCTATTTCAACGACGCAAGATTCAATTTTTTCAGAGTGGGCTGTAATTGTTGCAGTCAGGTCTTCGATTTTATTATTGGTAGTAGTTATTGAGTTGTTGAGTGTCGAGAATTGAGCCATTATGGCATTGAATCGTTGTGTGCTGAGATCTAATGTGTCATGAGAAGGAGCAGGGCATTTCTCGCACCTCCAATTCGAAAGCGTATCTTTTTCGACATCCACAGGTTGCGGGCGAGCACATACACCGTGCCAGCGAGAACGACATACTGAACAATTGATCGCTTGTCGATCTGTAGTGGGGATCGATTTCGTGCACGCGTGACAATTAGACATGTTCGATTTCAGAGGTATACCGGTATCGGTATGAATGTTTTTTGTTTCAACTTATAGGTTAAGCGAAACCTTTTGATGTTGCCACTTTTATTCGAATTTGACTGATAACAAATATAGTCAGTTGCTCAATCAGAGTCTAGCACTTACTTACTTTCGGTGCTAGTTCCTAGTCCTTTCAAAAATTCACTGCCACTGAAGTCAACACGGAAAACAATAGGTAAATTTGCACTATCACTTTATAGGTGGTCACTTGTCGAGCGGCGGAACTGAACTGCAACTGATATATAATTTCAAAAATATCGATAATTATAGATTTATCGATATATTGATAATTATCGAATTATCCAACCAACGAATTTTTTATGTGACTCCTAGACGCTTTCGTAATATCCAGAAAATAGTAATATTTATAAATTTCAATTTTTATTTAATTTAAGGATGGCTGAAGGACCTCGGTCGATGGCCATTTGGTTTTAACCAATAAAGAACATTTATTATTATTATTATTTAATTCAATTTTGAAATCCAAATAACTATTTGGAAATACAATGGGGAAGTTTGCTATATTGAGGTTTTTATCTCACTGTGAAGTTTATAAAAAAATAATAGATACGTATTATTTCTTTTTTTCGTAGGATAAAATTTCACTTAAGAAAAAAATAAATAAAAGAGGAACTTGGCTCCTCCGTCATTCCTATGACTTACCTTCTGAAAATCCACATTCACACAGAGTTAAAATACGATTCCCTGTGCCAGTACGACGTTGCCGACATCATCAATATATCATAACAGCAATGGGATATAATAGGTTCTTCAATCCGACTTCGTCAAGTATTATGAATAATTCCTATAAATGCCTCATTGGCTGAATGAAGTTGATTACTAATAAAGAAAAATTATGATATTCTGCGACAGTATCTATAACTTTTCACTATTATTATATAACAATATGTTACTCACAACTTGTCAGTAATTTTTTTGCTAATGCATTCGTTCCTTAATATAACGGATCTATTTTATGTGAAAGTTGCAGATTATATCTTGCAACAGCGCCTAATACTCCGAGTCCGTCCACACCACTCAAAATACTGACAGGCACAACAAGAGGAAGGAGCCATGGGTGTCGGCTTCATTCTATTCTGACCGATGACAGTAAATTAGGAAGGATAGTATCATTGACTGTAGCCGATAGTGAGTCATTGATTCAATGATATTTTCGTTTAGGATCGAGCTCTATTGGAGATATTTCAATGCATAAATAACAAAACCATAACCTGTCAGAATGGAGCCAACTACCCTCTGCATTCGAGCTTCGAGTGCATTTGTGGTTATGTATGTTTTTGTTTACCAGTTTTACTTCTTCTTTTATTTTTGTCATTCGTTTTTCATTCGTTAGCTATTCCTTAGCTATTCACTAGCTATATTCTGCACCATCAGCTATTTTCAGACTAGATTCAGAATGTACGTCACATTTTGGACTTGGACTTTATCGGTCGCCATTCTGTACAGCGTAGACATAAAAGTGGAGAGTTCCGAACTTATTTTATGAAAATTCATCTGAAGGAAACTTCTCCATAGACCAATTTTAAACTAAAATTTGTCATGACTACACCTTTTTCAATTTTATTTCAGAAAGTGTCATTTGAATTTCAGAAAGTATCAATTGTTTAGTCAATGGATTATTCTGAAATACAATTGAAGCTATCTGAAATTAAATTGACTATTCTGAAATACAACTGACGCTTTCTGAAATTGAATTGACGCTTTCTGAAATACAATTAACACTTTCTGAAATACAATTAACACTTTCTGAAATTCAATGTACTATTCTGAAATACAATTGATGCTTTCTGAAATACGAGTGACTATTCTGATATGCAATTGACGCTTTCTGGAATTGAATTGACTATTCTGAAATACAAGTGACTATTCTGAAATACATTTGATGCTTTCTGAAATACATTTGATGCTTTCTGAAACACGAGTGACTATTCTGATATGCAATTGACGCTTTCTGGAATTGAATTGACTATTCTGAAATACAAGTGACTATTCTGAAATACAATTGATGCTTTCTGAAACACGAGTGACTATTCTGAAATACAAATTACTATTCTGAAATGAAATTGACGCTTTCTGAAATTGAATTGACTATTCTGAAATACAACTGACGCTTTCTGAAATTGAATTGACGCTTTCTGAAATACAAATTACTATTCTGAAATAAAATAGACGCTTTCTGGAATTGAACTGACTATTCTGAAGTACAATTAACGCTTTCTGAAATTCAATTTACTATTCTGAAATACAAATGACGCTGTCTGAAATACATTTCACCATTTTTGAACTAAAATTGGAGAAGGTATAGTTGAATGAAAACAAGAAACCATAGTTTTTGCTCACCTATGGATGAGATACCGATGCACGACCTCGGCCACATCGTGCATCTGCACGTACATGCACACCAGCTGCGGCAGATAGAAGTCCACCTCGTGATCGGCGAAGCTGAACAGCTTGTTCACGATGTAGCACAGCACGCCCGGCTCCTTGCTGTTGAACAGATAGTGCATCGCCATCGACACGTCGAAGACTTTGCTCTCGAGCAGCCGCAGCATGCCGGTGCTTTTGGGCGGCTCGAGGGCAGCCGGCCGCCCGACCTCTCGCTCGGCCGGGGCGGTCGCCTGGTCGATGAACTCCACGCTGGACTCGCGGGTACCTGTAGAATGGTTATATGCCGATATCTAATATATGTATAAAATTCTCCTGTCCCGGTCACGGTGTTAGTGGTCGAACAACTCCGAAACGGCTAGACCGATTCGTATGAAATTTGTTGTGAGTATTCGGTAGGTATGAGAATCGTAATCTATTTTTTTCTATTTTTTAAACGGACGAGTATTGGTATCCGATTTCATTGAAAATTGGTTTTTGGGGGGTTTTCGGGGTCGGAGATTATGATTCTTTCGTCAAATTTTGGAAATTCATGATGGCGGATCCAATATGGCGGATCCAATATGGCAGACGAGTTTGGTAATTATGGTCAGATGCCATTCAAAATTGGTATCTGGGGGTTTTCGAGGTCAGAAAAAGGACGAATCAATATTGAGAAGATATTACATTATTTTAAAATCTGAAAATTATCGACGTGAAATTTTTAGTTTTTAACAGTGGGGACACCTGCGTTGTAGGCATCTTTATCATTCTTTTGGAGTAATCAAAAAGTTCTTTCTCGGAGACGGTATTATTAACTCATTTTTCGAAACTATAGCACAACAAAAGCCATCAACAGTGTATATATATGTGATATACAGGGTGGCCCACGGTCGATGGTACCTTAGACGTATACGGAAAACGGTACATTGGATTATCCTGAAAATTTGGTTACTTTAATAAGCGTTTGTGATCTAACGATTCGTAATATTTTCAGCGAAGCAGCGTTGCCACTTTTACCAAAAAGTAGCATCATCTTTGTTATTTCAAATGGAACACCCTGTATTTTATTGCGTTTTAAGATTCTTCCCGAAGAGCTGATTTCATCAATACATCACACTCGGGGTCTAGCAGGAATTATTACAGAGATATAGGGTGTTCAAAATCGAGATTCTTCAATTTTAGGATTTTTTTGTGTCGAAACTATTCATCATTGGTCAAAACGGCTTACATGTCCCTATATTAACTTTTGATTAACTATCTACCGACATTTAATTGGAAAAAAATACAGGATGGTCCAAGATTCAGAATTTTGATCACCCTGTATCTGTTCCAATTAAATGTCAGTAGATAGTGAATTAAAAGTTAAGATAGGGACATGTGAGCCATTCTGATCGATAATGAATAGTTTCGACACAAAAAATTCCTGAAATTGAAAAATCTCGATTTTGAACACCCTATATCTCTGTAATAATTCCTGCTAGACCCCAAGTGTGATGCATTGATGAAATCAGCTCTTCGAGAAGAATCTGAAAACGCAATGAGATACAGGGTGTTCCATTCGAAATAACAAAGATATGCTACTTTTTGGTAAAAGTGGCAACGCTGCATCAATGGAAATATTTTGAATCGTTAGATCACAAACGATTATTGAAGTAACCAGATTTTCAGGATAATTCGATGTACCGTTTTCCGTATACGTCTAAGGTACCATCGACCGTGGGCCACCCTGTATATCCGGGAAAAAAGTACTCACTTTTATCCACGGGAAGAAAGTTATTTATGAAAAGTGACATTTTATAACCTGCCAACAGAGATGAAATGCCAAACTTTTTTCCCGTCACAGAAAACAATATTTTTTCTACAAGCGTGCGTGATTCACCCTATAACCGCACGCAATTTAGTTTGGGAAGTGTAATTTTCCCGCAGTAGTGCGGGGAGAGTTTTCCCACACTAATGCGGGAAATTTTTTCACACACTAGTGCGGGAAAAACATTTATATAATATACTCGCAAAATATGAGTGGTGGGTGACACAATATGAAAATTTTAGGTTTTTTTGTTGCAGTATTTAGTAAGTTTGTACAGAATCATCTATCAAATTGCACTATTTATTGGGAAAATAATGAAATATTGAAAAATAATAATTGATTGTTATACAGGGTGTTTCTTAAGTACGTGTAGAAAAATCAGGAGCATGTTGCTGACGTCTAAATAAAAAGAAAAGTTAATATAGACATATGTCCGAAAGTTATCCGTTTCTGAGATACAGAGTGTCAAAGTTGAATCCTTATTTTTGTTTTTTGGTAATAACTTTCAAAATAATTGTGATATTGGAATGAACTTTGGTATCTAGGGGTATTTTTCAATGACAATATAAAATTTTATGTTTTCCCGTCACAGAAAAAACTGATTATTTCTGAGCAAACTGGATAAAATTAATCATGCCATTTTTTTTACAAATATTATTCTTTGTTCGTCAATTTACAGTTGTTGATATACTTTGAATGATGAAATGTTTACCTAGGTATACATATAATTATTATGTACTTCCTATACCAGAGCCTATTCTGTCTGGAAGTTATTTGTTCAATGAATAAATAAATAAATAAAATAAATACATACCGCCCGACCCAGTTTCCGATCCGCACATGATCCCCGAATCGTCCGACCCGAGGCTGGCGAGCTCGTCCGGCTTGGGGGCGGCATCCGGGGCCGCCCCCACGCAAAGGGCGGCCGTCGCGACCGTCTCCGCTTCCGGACTGGGCGTCACGTCCACTTCGGGGATGCGCTGCAGGGCGGAGTCCAGGCTGCGGTTGCGGTGGTGGGTGGTGTGGTGGTTGGCAGGGGGGGCGGCGGCGGCGAGTTGGGGCACGGGGGGCAGCAGGATGCCCATCGACCTGGAATGCACGGTCGGAATGAGTCATGATTTTTATATCTCAGTAGCATATAATATGTATGTACTAGAGTCCTTGTATACTTTAGACAGGAGTCCGGACAGCTGTTGGGGTTTTTAATATTTTGTTTCATTTGGTTTGCCCACCTGACAATGCGACGAAACACCATAGTCGTCCCGCCCGCTATTTTTAATTTTCTGTCACTGTCACTTTGAAATTTTATGGCCGCCAAAATTTTGCATTTTAAATTATTTCAATGTCCTGCTGCGTACATTATTGCGATAATTCATTAGAAAAGGGATTCGAGTTATTCAATTTTCCGAATGATCCTTTAAAGATAATGTCATGGAAGAATGCAATGAAACGTCCAGAATGGAAAATTAATTCCAAGAAATCCGCAATATGTGAGGTAAACATTCGAATTTACTTGTAAAAACAGTACAAAAAAGATGAATTTCAGGCCCATTTTGATAGAGATTCTTTCAAGCTGATGGATTTCAAATTGAAAGAGTCTGCTGTGCCGTCAATCTCTTCAAAAAAAGAGTTCCGTCATCGTATTGGGAATGGGGAAGACCACTGAGGGGAGAAATCCGTGCAAACCTCTTTCAATCGACGAATCATGATTCACGTTTGATCTACAATCAATATCATGAGTTGAAGTTGAAGGGAATCGAATCTATATCGTTTTGAAATCAGCATATTTCATTCGTTATTTCGAAAAGCCAAATATAATGGTGGAGCCGTGACGTATTAGTCCCGCACTGTAGCTATCTCTCTCTGATACCTCGTCATTCTGCAGTGTTGCAGTGTGATTGGTGAGTTCAAGGACAATAGGCGTGTTGGGACTAAGACGTCGCACCAGTCACACCAATGAATTGACAAAATTTCAAATGGCGCAGGAATTGTGTGTTTGAAATGGACATATATTCTAATTTATTTTTTTCATCGTCTTAGCATGAATAAAAAAAATCAAAATTAATTCACTGGTAGTTTTTCAGTATAGAGTTCACGATGATGTCATTTCAAAAAATCAGTGGTCTCCCCCATTACTGAATAATACGATCGCAGAGAAAGAAAATGAGATGATGCGGAGAGAAATTGAAAGTTTGAAATCAAGACTAGAAGATTTAGGGAAATTGCAATGTGCTATGTCATCAGTCCAAGGTGTTTTTAATTCAGATCAAATTAAAGAATTTATTGGTGAATGTAGACTGCAGGAATAGGTGGGAAACCGACACAATTAAAATTATATTGATACAATTATGTATCTTCTATTTTTTTATATCCCAACAGAAAACAACTATATTTTCTTGGCTATATGTGATACCACGTAGAACACTTAAATCAAATCTTTGCTTAAATTATCTTTTTTATATCTAATGAAGGAAAGAAATATCTGATGACGAAAATTTGCAGTAGCCATCTCAGGAATTGATTACGAAAATTATCGATTCGAAATTTGGACACCCTGTTTTCATTATTTGAAAATCTAATAGTTATTCTAGTTAAAACTTCTACCTACGGCTATGAACGGTTTGACAAATAATCTAACCCTCAAAATTGTTTCTGACAATCATTGATACTAGGGGAATTGAAAAGACAGAGCTCGATATATATGTCTTATTCCTTTATTCAATCATCAATGCATTTTTTGAAAACAGAAAAGGGCAGAAGTATAGTTGTGTCCGGACTCTCTTGTCCAAGGTATATACAGGGACTCTAATATGTACTATTCCTATATATTCGCGGGAATCAATGTTACCAGGTGGCGCTCGGTTTTCATCGTTCCATGTCAAAGCCACGTCAAAACTGGGGGAAAAGAATCTCAATCCTCACTCATTCCCATTAGTGCTATTAGCTTGTGTACGGTGTATTGATAAAAGTGATAAGTTTTTGAATTTCTTGACATTAATTGTCCATATTCGATCGAAAACGCATAATGCCTGTTGTAGATGTTCTTTTGGCAGATATTTTGCTTTATTTAGATGGAAAAAGCCGACCAGTAGTGGAAGGAGAAGCAGTTCTCCGTACTAATCATGTGATTTTGTGTGAGGCAGAAGACTTCAACAAAAGGCACATTTTTGCACTTTGTCTACAAACTTCGGCGATGAAATCTTCCCCACATGAAGTAAAATTGAAGTTGGGGTCCAGAGGAACTCCTGTAGAACAATGGATTTGTTTTTGTTCATGCAAAGCAGGACAATCTGGGTATTGTAAACATGTTGTAGCTGTTCTTTTATATGTCAATCGATTTGTCGTCATAATTAGTTTGAATTATCTCTAATTCTTCACCCGTTCACTGTTCACTAAACTAATAAAAATGAAATAATGTGAAAAAATTAACCAACTCAACCATCATCACTACCAACAGTGCCAACACTTTATGTCATTGACAAGTTTGACTACAGCACAGCAAGCTGAATGCAATTTAGTCTATGCACTTTATCCATAGACAACAGTTTGTTTTCCCCCAGTTTGAAGTTCGTATTATGGTACCTAGATGTCGCCCACTTCGTGAATCTCGCGAATAATACAATGGTTTAAGTGAATAAAAGAATAAGACATATATTCTGCTCTTTGTCTTTTCAATTTCCCTAGTAGCACCTGATTGTCAGATACGATTTTAGAGGTTATATTTTCTGTCAAATCAATCATAGCCGTAGATGGACAATGGATATAGGGTACAAACACCCACTTCAATTTATAGTGATACACTTCTAGCAGAACAACTGTTATATAATTGTTATATAAATGAAAAGAATGCATGTAACAACATTTTAATATTAGAAAATATACACATATGGATAAACTTATAGCTATAATTCCTTATTGTATGTGAAACTGTACTCCAGTGATAAGTATAAAACATGGAGTTATTAATATTAAATTAAAAGTAGGTATTCTCAATATACAGGAAGTAACATAAGTTCGTTCAAGTGAAATATTCCTGAGACAATTTTAAGAAATAAAGTATATATAAGCTTGTGTCACCGGAAAATAGTCATTTGTTATACAAGGGAAAAAAGTAGTAGATTTTATTAAATCTAATATTTTTCCCGTGTATAATACACTATTTTTTTCTGTGACAGAAGAAAGGACGAATCAATATTAAGAAGATATTACATTATTTTGAAATATGAAGATTATCGACGTGAAATTTCAAGTTTTTGACAGTAGGGACACCTGCGTTGTAGGCATCTTTATCATTCTTTTGAAGTAAGTACGTCACTATTTGTCTGTGAAAACTGAAAAGCTTCAAGACAGATACAACTTTGCTATTGAAATAATCTTTTCTTATGTTGAAAACGGGAGCAGAATTGGTCCCGAAACGTCCAGAGATAAGTGAAAATTTGATATTTTTTTCTATATACCTCTATTTCTCTTCTCCAAACTTTTTTCAATACAAATTGTCACTGACAAGCTAGTGAATTTTTCTTTTAGGCTCTCAGATAGGAAAATTCGTCGGACGCAGTGACATTTTGGGGCAAATCATCTGATTTGTCCTTACTACACGTATATTGAAATAATATTCATATTTTTATTTTATAGGAACGAGGAGAGAAAATCCCAAAAAATTTGGAATAATGAATGTACCACCTCCTAGATTAACCTACAGACAGCGAGACAGACAGTATCTATTAATAATTATCGTTTTGAAGTGAACCGAAAAACTTGAGGCGGGAAATGAAGCATTAGGCCAAACAACTTATTTTCTATACCCTGTATACCTTCATCCTGTGAACCCTGTATATGCATTATTTCATCAGAAACACTAATCAAAAACCTCTTTTTACATTTTTTTCATCCTATTAATTATCGTTTTAAAATGAACCAAAAAACTTTAGGAGTGAAATGAAGCATTAGGCCAAACAGCTTATTTTGGCGAGATATATACCCTGTTGAATAAAAAAATCTCACTTTCAGATTCACCCTGTATACCTACCTACATCAACAATAAATCTGGCAGTAGTTGCCATGCATAGCGTTTCTAATAGGTGTTATAATAGGTAAATAACTATTTATTATACTGGTTATGCATATGGAATGAAGGTCAGCAAAGGTAAATCCCGAGGTGAGTAAACGGTATTTGCGCCGTTGCCAGCTCTAGCCATTTTGTAACCCGTCTAACTACTCAAAAATTGCATATAACCATCAGCCATTTTTTCTGAGAATCAATCAAATCTGAACTTCAATAAACCCTGACAAATAATGACAATAACGCACGTTTTGTAATGACCTAAAAAGTGAATAACTATGAATTTTTGTCTTAGGAATCGAACTTTTTGTCAAAATGACTACTGCAACACTGGATTTGTGATTATGTCGAGCGTTTGTTGCATATTATAATAATTATTATATTACAGTAAACGCACACTTATCTGGAATACTTTATGAGAACCAAATAATGATTTTGACAATAAATTTCAACACGAATGAAAGAATCGAGAAAAAAATGATAAAATTCCGATTGAGAAAAATAATCATCCGAAGTTTCGAAAATTTTAAAATAATCGAAATTCTAGCAGTGGCGTAGAAAATCGTAATACGGTCACTGGTTCAAATGGGAGGAGTTACATTGGCGTCAAAAATTGTGAATTTTGAAGACAAAAATAAATATACAGGGTGTCTCAAAATTCCTGGGACACAAAGCTACAACGTGTAATACAGTTCAAAATAAGTTGATTGGACCCAACTTATTTACATAAAAAAATGTACCGGTTGTTCGTGAGACGAGTTCAGTTTCACATAGAAAACACATTTTTGAGCAAAAATTATTGAAACAAATTGGAGGAAATTGAACAATAGTAGATTGTTTTATTAGGATCAAAAGTGACACTTTGTTTGACAAGCGAATTTTGCATTTGCGAGGCGGAGCGTTTAGCAAAATACTTAACTGAGATGTTTATAATTCCAATACTTAACTATAATGAGGTGTATTTATATCTCCAGCATGGGTATGAATTGCCAAATCTGCCGAAATCGGAAACAAATCAGGTATGCAT